CCACCCTGAAATTTTAAGTGGATTTCTCCATCCCATCTCTCCCTGGGTCTTTCTGAACAGAACGGGTGAGGGGGATCCAGTAGTGTGGATGGCAAATCATGTGACTTCTGAAACTGAGATCAAATAGAGCTCTCCTCTCATGGTTTTTTAGTACCCACTCTCTTATGTAGACATGCATATAATCCAGAAATGAAGTCCACTTAGGGTCAGCAGCAGAGGAGATTAGCAGGTTTGATTGGAGGGGAAGAAGCTAAAATGAGCACTGCTGTTATTATACATACATATATACATACGCTACCGTTCAAAAGTTTGGGATCAGAATGATTTTTTATGTTTTTTACAGGACTTTTTTACTGCATTTATTTGATCAAAAATACAGGAAAAAATTTAATATTGTAAAATAGTATGATGTAAAATAACGTTATATACATTATATACAAATATACATTAAAATCAAATTTATTCCTGTGATGCAAAGCTGAATTTTCAGCATCATTATTCCAGTCTTCAGTGTCACACGATCCTTCAGAAATCATTCTAATATGCTGATTTATTATCAGTGCTGGAAACTGTTGCGCTGCTTAATATTTTTTTGGAACCTGTGATACTTTTTTTCAGGATTCTTTGATGAATAAAAAGTTAAAAAGGATAGCATTTATTTAAAATATATATATATTTTTCTAACAATATACACTACAGTTCAAAGGTTTGGGGACAGTACATTTTTATTCTTTCTTTTTTTTGAAAGAAATTAAAACTTTTATTCAGCAAGGATGTGTTAAATTGATAAGAAGTGATAGCAAAGGTTTATATTGTTAGAAAAGATTTATATTTTTATGGCTGATGGAAATTCAGCTTTGCATCACAGAAATATATTATTTTTTAAAGGATATTAAAATAGAAACCATTATTTTATATTGTAATAACATTTTGCAAGATTATACACACACACAAACACACACACACACACATTTATTTATTAAATATTTCAGTATGACATCAGCGGTATCATAAATCATAATCATAAATGTTATTATACATGCATACAGAATCTGGTCCAGTTAATAAACTGTAATCAATAAGAAAGAAAGAAAGATAATTGCCTCTTTTAACTCTAAGGATTTTAGTCTTTAATCAAACATTTTTTGTAGTAATGAACTAAAAAGTAAAGATGTGGTGTATAAACACAGCTCTGACTCTAAATTCTGATTGGATTGGTTTTGTTCAAAAGTAGTAAATATATAGCCTATATCTCAAACTATGGTGAATAATAATAATAATAAATTAAACCTTTTTTGTAGGTAATTTGCTATTAATATTTTAAGAAAACTTTTCACCTTACATAAAGAGATTTGTAACCCAAATGTAGGTTTTAAAGCCTACAGTATGAGGTGTACGGATAACCGCGGTATCAGCCCATCTATGTGACTGCACCAGGTGCGAGTAGGGGTGTGCGATATATATCGTCTGCGATAATATCGTAATTGTTGTTTTAACGATGTGCAATTTGACATTATCTAGTATTTTGCAAAACGCATACATTACGTGATGAAGTCTAGCGGGTTAAACAGTGCACGTGCGCATTTAGAGAGTGTTCTTTCACTGCGTGATTCAGTCTATTAAAATGCTTTAAGAAAGATCACAAAATTCAAGATATGGGGGAAGAAAATGTACATATTAATATAATCTCATATAGTTAAAATCACACGAAGAGTGCAGTTTTTTTTCTTCAAAAATAAGCAAGATTACAAATGTGATAGTGATTTTATACAACAGTTCAATAAACAACAAGCCAATATTAAGAGACTTACGTTTTAAACACCATATTGCCAGTTTTTGCTCTACTTCGCCAACCAAAAATAATTCCAAACAGCCACCACAGAACAGTTCTGCGTCTCTGAGCAATGACGGTGTTTAGTTCCTGAATGAATCAAATGTTTAAATGATTCTGTTCAATCACAATGACTCACTTGTTAACAGTGACTTGCTGCCACCTACTGGCGATTTTAATTTCACATTTAAAATATCTTTTCTTTTTTAAAATAATTTCAAACATCAGTATTCAATGTTTTATTTGTAAAATATCAAAACATTATGCATTTGTAACTGCAGGTTAAAGCACTCCATGTCCCTCTGATCTGAATTAAATAGTGTGTAAATACATCTAAATGTCACTTCAGATGCAACTTCTTGATACTGGTTTCATTTGTTTGGTAACAGCCTGGATGTCTCATTATTCCAATTGACTGATTAAATGTAACAATTTGACTCAAAAGATGCACACTTTAAAAAAATGGCTTTATTAAAAGGTAAAAATGCCCATAAAAGGTAAAAATTTAACTGATGTGAACTTGTCACACAGAATGAAGAATATCACAAACTGCAGCTGTCCATGGTAGTCAGATATCAGCACAATAACACACTCGGCAAAATATCTTCTAATTATCGTTATCGAAAATATCCCAAAGAATATCGAGATATTATTATTTTTTCAATATCGCACACCCCTAGGCACAATGACTCACTTGTTAACAGTGACTTGCTGCCACCTACTGGCGATTTTAATTTCACATTTAAAATATCTTTTCTTTTTTAAAATAATTTCAAACATCAGTATTCAATGTTTTATTTGTAAAATATCAAAACATTATGCATTTGTAACTGCAGGTTAAAGCACTCCATGTCCCTCTGATCTGAATTAAATAGTGTGTAAATACATCTAAATGTCACTTCAGATGCAACTTCTTGATACTGGTTTCATTTGTTTGGTAACAGCCTGGATGCCTCATTATTCCAATTGACTGATTAAATGTAACAATTTGACTAAAAAGATGCACACTTACCTCATTATTCCAATTGACTGATTAAATGTAACAATTTGACTAAAAAGATGCACACTTAAAAAAAATGGCTTTATTAAAAGGTAAAAATGCCCATAAAAGGTAAAAATTTAACTGATGTGAACTTATCACACAGAATGAAGAATATCACAAACTGCAGCTGTCCATGGTAGTCAGATATCAGCACAATAACACACTCGGCAAAATATCTTCTAATTATCGTTATCGAAAATATCCCAAAGAATATCGAGATATTATTATTTTTTCAATATCGCACACCCCTAGGTGCGAGGCAGTTCTTCTTCTTAAGATGCTTCATATGCATTGATATTCACAAAAGTTTCATTTTAAATGGATATTTATGCTTTGGTTTATCAGTGTACTCATTACAAGAATACTGTATACGGTTAATCAGGAGTATGGTGAGAAAAGAAGACATCTGCAAGTTGGAAATCCCAGAGGGTTTGAGAATGGACCTCAGCCTTGATCCTGATCTACTGAGAGACATTCAGATTTCAGCTGCCAAGAGATTAATAAATGGTTCAAATTGACCAATTTCAATCAAACAGGAAGCAGAACTCATTTATGATGTCATGTTAAAGTGAAAGTATGCAGAAGCTCATACTTCCACTTTGAACATGTGGAAAAAGTTATCATTTTTATCTTTATTATTCTGTGTTCTTTTATGCAATGACAGGGCATCAGCACTTTGTTATATTTCCTCGACCAATCAGATTTGAGGATGGTAACTTACTGTTGAACATGAAAACAACAAATATGGGTTAAAATAATTTTATTTAGATTTTTTTTACACCAAAAACATTAAATTACATGACATCTCAGTTTTTATATATGACTATTTGCCCTTAAAAAAAAAATAAATGACAGCAATATATTTATGTTTTATGATAAGAATGAGTATTTTTATGATGATGAATATTGCACTTTGGATACAGGCATATAGAGGTCCCTGAATATTATGTTCTCAATTATTTTGTAATTTTTTTGGTTTATTAAAATGAGCAGACTGACATAATGGAAAATATTTTGATACATTTGAAACTGACTGCATGCTGCTTTAACATTGTTTGTTTAGTGAATGTTATATTTTGACACCAAAAACTGCTGCAAATAAAACTGTGTTTAACTATATTTTAAAATCTTTGCATTATGATTTCATAATAGTTTTTTAATTTTTTTAGTAAGACCATCTATTATAATTTATTGTAAGTTATTCATTAAGATCCCACATACAAATCCAAATTAAACAAAATGTCTCAGGCTTCATATACATCCCAATCCATAAACACTGATTCACAACAACACCCAATTAAATATGAAAAATCAGCATGGATTACAAGTCACACTACAGTTGACTAAAAACAGAAATTTAATCAGCAACACAAGTTAAGTTGTACAATCAGGTTTGTAATATTCACATTTGGCCATTAAATTACAAATACCGCCTTGCAAGCTGAAAGTATGCAGCTGGTTGGGAAACTACAATACAATAGGAGTGTCTTGAGGAGCTTCATCTCAACTAATGGTGGAAATTAAGCAAAATCCAAGGAGTTTGCTGTTAATGCCTAATTAGAAGAATAGCACACATACTCCATTAATTCTGAACACTGCAAAGAACTGCAATGCAAAGACATTAATGTCTTACATTCAGTGCATTTTTGAAGACTTTTATTCAAATAAATATTTTATGTGGTATACGTTTTTTGCAGGTATCTTCAATGCTTAATTTGGATACTAATGAATAACACATTTTATCACATTATCATTATTTGATTAGTTACAACATTATTTATTGTACATGGAATCTATTAAATTAAAGAATATTATTTTTATACCATTCCCATCATTCACCCAGAATTCACCTCTGAAAGTGAAGAGCAGCATCAAACATTCAGTGTTTCTTCATGGAGTCGAGGATGCGCAGGATATAGATGAACAGGTTGACTATGTCCAGGTACAGGTTGATGGATGCAAGGACGTGCTCCTCTGGTGACAGCTTATGCATCAGCAAGTGAGTATCGAAAATAATGAACCCACAGAACAGCAGAGCTCCCGCCCCGGCAAAGACCAACTCCATTGTGTCATTGTAGAAGAAAAGCTGTAGGACACAGAGTGCAACTGATGAAATGTGTCACGTTTTTTGCAGGTATCGTCAATGCTTAATTTGGATACTAATGAATAACACATTTTATCACATTGTCATTATTTGATTAGTTACAACATTATTTATTGTACATGGAATCTATTAAATTAAAGAATATTATTTTTATACCATTCCCATCATTCACCCAGAATTCACCTCTGAAAGTGAAGAGCAGCATCAAACATTCAGTGTTTCTTCATGGAGTCGAGGATGCGCAGGATATAGATGAACAGGTTGACTATGTCCAGGTACAGGTTGATGGATGCAAGGACGTGCTCCTCTGGTGACAGCTTATGCATCAGCAAGTGAGTATCGAAAATAATGAACCCACAGAACAGCAGAGCTCCCGCCCCGGCAAAGACCAACTCCATTGTGTCATTGTAGAAGAAAAGCTGTAGGACACAGAGTGCAACTGATGAAATGTGTCTTGAAATTAAATAAAGCGACTTGACTGTATGACTCTTTTATCAAGTCAATCAATTTGATAAATAATCTTCAATACTACTATATATATATATATATATATATATATATATATACATATACTAATTTTCGATTTTGTTTTCCCTTAATAATAAAAACCTTCATTTAAAAACTGCATGTTGTGTTTACTTGTTATCTTTGACTAATATTTAAATTTGTTTGATGATCTGAAACATTAAAGTGTGACAAACATGCAAAAAAATAAGAAATGAGGAAGGGGGCCAACACTTTTTCACACCACTGTATAGTAGTGCTGTCAGATGTGTGTGTACTGTGTTATTATGTATATATAAATACACGCACATACAGTATATATTATGAAATTCTGTTATATACCATTCTGTTTAATTTAGCCTTAGACTCACCCTCATAAAGCTTGCAATGATCAAGATCCACAGGCCGGCAAACAGACTAAGAAAAAAGATGACCAATTAGGATTTTTTTTTAGCATTTGCATTATTAAAAAACAAAAAAACAAAAAGGACAGACAACCTGTTGCAGCAGGCTCTCTATTAAACAGACTGATAATATGACTGAAGAAATTCTTCAGTCCTCCTCACAAAGACATACATTTTTCCTCCCAGCGACTTCCCATGCCGATGGGTGGACCATGCATCACATCATATAACAGAGTTATGACTCATGGAGCCCCATTATTTTTGTTACATTTCATTTCAATGACTGGAAAGAAGAATGTTTCTCCAGAGACTATTTCTGCCACAACGCAAAAGAACATCCGCACGGATTCAGGAGTAAATGGATTAAAACAATAATTCTTACACTCAGTTACTGTGATGAATGTGACAGATCCGGGTCTTGAGCGGACGAGAACGAGAGAATTACCTGGCTCCGAGCTTGCTGAAGTCTCTTTTAGACTGGAAAGTGTAGGCAGTGAGACCCAGGAACACAGCAGACGTGAGCACAAAGGCCTGGAGCACTATGCTGTACTCATAAAATGTCACTAAAACCAGAAAAATATGGTATCAGATGATCCATCAAGGAAGTATCCATTGATATTATGTGACTGGACTTCTATAAATTAAGAAAATTAATGAACATACCCGCAGTGGCTACAGACAGAGATTCCAACAGAGTCTGCATAAACATTTAAAGCCATTACATTACAGTACTTCATAATTAATATGAAGTGCATAAATATATGCACGTACACACACATATATACAGTATATACATACACACACACACATATACATATATATATATATATATATATATATATATATATATATATATATATATATATATATAATGTAATATATATATATATATATTTATATTTATATACACATTTTTGTGGCATACTCACAAATCCAAACAGCAAGTAAAGGTTGATGGGGTGCTGGTGACGGTACACAGCCAAGGCAAGGAGCAGGATAAGGGACCCGATAGCAGATATCAACACCAGCGAGGGACTGAAAAATTAACAATTTATTTAAAATTAATTAAAAATTAATTGCTCACATTAATATATTGACATAGATTAACGTGCAGTTTGTACCATTTAACAGCCACAATGATGTGGTGAACCTACAGTGGAGGATGTGCTCTTACCTTTCGTGCACAAAGTTTTTAATGGGGTTACAGAGCATGAAAAGGGCAGATACAGCAGTGGTGACGATAATCTGCAATGACAGGATGGTGTAGACCTTGCGGAGGAAATCTAAAGAGAAATAACACTTGAGCATAAACTCTTCAACCATACATATATTACATTTCATAAAATTAAACAAGATGTTTGATTTGTTGTTTGGCTTCACTGGGATTATTTACACTCTCAAACAAGATGTCTACAGTTTACACTAAACCTCACACTAATAGTTACATTTGAAAAAATCAATAAGGAGCCTCATGACAGACTGGTAGGCTATACAATAGGAGTGTCTTGAAGAGCTTCATCTCAACTAATGGCAGAAATTAAGCAAAATCCAAGGAGTTTGCTCTTAATGCCCAGTTAGAAGAATAGCACACATACTCCATTAAATCTGAACATTGCAAATAACTGCAATGCAAAGAAATGAATGATTTCACATTTGCGCCATATGTCTCCTGTTTACCTGGACCTCACAAAGAAACAAGGTGAAATAAATAATTGAAATGCAACAGGGTTCCCACAAGATGTTTGATTTGTTGTTTGGCTTCACTGGGATTATTTACACTCTCAAACAAGATGTCTACAGTTTACACTAAACCTCACACTAATAGTTACATTTGAAAAAAATCAATAAGGAGCCTCATGACAGACTGGTAGGCTATACAATAGGAGTGTCTTGAAGAGCTTCATCTCAACTAATGGCAGAAATTAAGCAAAATCCAAGGAGTTTGCTCTTAATGCCCAGTTAGAAGAATAGCACACATACTCCATTAAATCTGAACATTGCAAATAACTGCAATGCAAAGAAATGAATGATTTCACATTTGCGCCATATGTCTCCTGTTTACCTGGACCTCACAAAGAAACAAGGTGAAATAAATAATTGAAATGCAACAGGGTTCCCACTCCAGCTGTTTTACATGTTATTCATTTCCAGGCAATGTTGTTATATAGACTGTATTACTGATTACGTAGACACAAAAGGCCTTTAAATACATGTCAATTGCGACTCACCCATCCGGATATGGACGCTCGCCGTCGCGACGTTCGTGCCATAATTAAAATCATCCTCAATGGATGATCGCGGATACTTCTCCTGATTCATGTTTGATCGAATTAAACGCGTATCATTTACTCACAAATACAAAAGTGATAATACGACGCTCTCTACCGTCTTTCTGTGGTTTTCGTTTTCATTTCGTACTTCAAATACGTGCTTACTGCCACCTAGCGGATCATAGAAACAACTAACAGTGAGATTAGTATGCATTTATTATGCGTGTTTGTTTTTAATGCTGTCGAGTGTGGATAGTGAGATATCCTCAAATACACTTTACAGTAGGTAATATTATACTTAAGTTGTCATTGCGTTACATGACTGCTAAACAAAGCTTATAAAAAAACAAAAACGTTTAATTGACTGCCAAATGTCCATGTAATACTAAATTATTAAAGATAATAATATAAAACCTGTAGCTAAATAATGTAGCTGTATAATTGATTTTGGTAATATCAATTATTCTTTTATCCAAAAAGTAAATCTATTTCCACTCTAAAGTATCAAGGAAGCTATCATAATGCATCGTTTGATGCTCGATTGAATCGGTTCTATTTAATGAATCATTAGCTGGTTAGTAACGGTGTGAATGATTCGCGATTCAGTCAGAATCGTTTAGACAGTTCATACAGGCATTTAATTACTTGAAGCGGTAAAACTATAAGGCGAAACGAATATAAAGTACGATAACAGTAGATAAAGTAGAAATATTTACTTATCCGTTGAAAAGAAGCCCGAACGTGTCCTACCGTTTGTCAGTGATAAAGAAGATAATGACTAAGAGCAACACCTGCAGCTTGTGAACGACTCAGGTAACGGCATTTTCCAAACAAATAACCGAAACACGAAAAAGTACTTAATACCAAAAATTACCACAATGTCATATGATACATGAATACATTCAAGGCCTATATCATCGTGTTTGTTTGTTTTTACATGAGCCTATTATTTGAACAACTTTGAAGCACCATACACATATCACGACACAACAATTTGATAACTAATTGGCAATTTTGACAACTATATGGGTCATTTTATAATTAGGGGTACATTTCACATCAAAACAGCTTGGTTTCAGTTTATAGCCTATAATGTTTTTCATAAGTGTACGGTAGCCTAGTTGCCAAGCTTAAATATTAAATACCCTTTTGGTGTTACAAGGGAAGGATATTTGGTGAAATTGTAATATGTTATGGACATGTATGCACAGTGATTGTTTTAAAAGAATTTTAAGAATTATATTTTTGCAGATGTCATTGTGATATTCTCAGCACAGTCAAGAAAGTAATTTTTGAATCATTATTCTGCCTTAAAGATCATTTTGGTGATTTTAGTAGATGTTATGCAAAACTCCAATCTGTGTGAATATGAAATATACCCTGAAAAGATAAGAGAACCAGCATTCTAGTTATTTCAAATGTTAAAAAAAGAGACACTTTCACCATTTTGACTGGATTTTGAACATTTCAGTCACAATTTTCTTGATCAGGTTAACTTCAAATTTGAATATATTAAAATCATAAAAATATTGCAATCCATGTACCAAACATAGCTGATAGCAAATTAATATATGCCTTGACAATCGGTTATTATAAATAAAATATTGAAGAAAAAAAAAAAGACACTTACAATATTGTGTTCAAAATCTAGAGAAGAAAATTACCAAATGATGCTGGTCACATGGTGTTGTAATAAACCATTTTTACTCATTTGGTTCATTTATTTTTCTGACGTGCAGATTTTAGGACCTGATAATGTTGACTGTAGCATTTTTATTCATTACTTTGAACTCACGACCCTCTCATGTCAAAAACAGACACGGAAAAAATTTAGGGGACATCAGGGTAATTTCAAGAAAAATGGAACAGGATGAACAATTTTTTTAGATAAGCTGTTCACATAATGGATAACAAAATTGTTAGAAAAAATATAATCAACATCAGTGAACATAAAATATACCCTAAATTATAGAATGACTGGTAAAACCATTTTATGCTATCATTTTTTTGGTATTTTTTTAAAACCCTCAATAATTACCCCTTTCTTGGACACCCCACAATAGAACACCTTTTGGATGTCTCCCTTAACTACTTTTAAGCTTATAAGGTTGCTTAGATGTAGACCTTGTGACAACTTGACTCGGTCTTCCTGATTTATACAATTCCTGACATATGACAATGTAAATGAGATATAAAAAAAACGACACCATTTGGAAGACTAGTTTTGCATTTTCTAAAATTACCAATCATCCCCGAAACACTGTTTTGGCCCCCCACCAGAGTTGCACCTCTAAGTATACACTATTATATTCAGCACAGGTCATTCAGGAGATGATTTTAAAGGATATGAATTAGCACACATCCAAATTCAATCACGATTCTTCTTTACATAATGAATTCCAAACGCCTTAATTTAAATTTCCCAACAGGTACGTTGGAGAATCCACACAGTCTTCGGTCATCTCTTTTCCATTCTCAGAGGGGTTTCCGGCACCTGCTTCCTTCCTTTGTGGTGCTAATCAGCTAACGCAAGTAAGTAAAAGACCCCGCGGAGAGCTCCACCTCATATTTAACCGACACATGCTCATTCTCAGACGATTCATTGTGCTATCTTTAATATTCCACTTATTTTATAACCCCAGCAGTGGTCGAAAAAAGTAATTTCCTTCAGGTTTAATTACAACCTCCTCTGCAAAGAGAACACTGCTGTCTTTCTCTTTTGTGCACTGGTGTCGGCCATGTAATGACATGCCTGTGGGATTTGTTTAGTGCCAGAGTTGCTGCATAAGTTGCTCACAGTCTCTCTTGGGCATGCTTAACAAAGTGCACCACTGCCCGTTTCTTTCCCTCAGGAGCTTTCAGGTGAAGCCAGCTCTTTATGGAGTCCACACAGCATTTCATTAAAGTCTATGTGGAGCCAGCCTCAGGGACATGGCCACATAATTCATTTGGAAGTACACGGTCTCCTGCATCCCCTGTATCCATTCCCAGGTGTTTCTGAGTAACCTTATAGCTTATCGCATTCAGGGGATGCTTTCCATCACATCATTTCTTCATGTGGCACATTGCAGTGGCTCCTTTTCTATTTCCAATCCTTGTTTTTCCTTTTACACCATATTAGCTATTACAGGCTAATAGAAAAAGTATAGTTACATTACCAGCAATCAGGAATATTTCACCCAAAAATTAAGATTTGCTGAAAATGTACTCACCCTCAGGCCATTCAAGATGTAGAGGAGTTTGTTTCTTCATCAAAACAGATTTGGAGAAATTTAGCATTGCATCACTTGCTTACCAATGGATCCATTGCAGTGAATGGGTGCCGTCAGATTGAGAGACAAACAGCTGATAAAAGCATCACAACAAGTAAACCAAATGACTCCGGTCCATCAATTAAGAAAATCTGCATGTTTGTAAGAAATAAATCTATAATTAAGGGATTTTAACTTTAAAACGTGAATATTTCGGTCCGCAATCCATAATAATACTTAATATAATAAATAACAAGTCCATCCCCTGCTGTCCTCTCACATCGAAATCCACCAACATATTTAGACATGTTTTGGTTTGTAAATGGTGCTTGATCTGTGCATATTTCTCTCCTGATTCAGATGAGACTACTTTTCACGTGAGAAAGCAATGTTATGAATAGAGCAGTTGTATTTGAAGCTACGGTTTTAAGTAAAAAAATGTCTTGATTTGTTTATTACAAACATGTAGCTTTTTGTTTTACAATACACTTTTTGCAAAAAACAAACAAACAAAAAAACACTTTCTGACACCCATTCACCGTAGAAGGTCCACTGGTGAGCAAGTGATGTAATGCGTCTATAAAATCTTAAAGAAAATATCTAATGTTCTCCAAATCTGTTCCGATGAAGAAACAAACTCATCTACATCATGTATGGCCTGTGGTTGAGTACTTTTGGGGTGAACTATTACTTTAAGTAGTCTCGCAGGCAGAGGAACATAGCTTATCTTTAATTTAAGGTGTTTTTGTAACAGCTGGTGTGATTCAAATTAGATCTTATTTAAATTTCCAACATGCACCATTCATCTTCATTATAAAGAGTAATTCTATAGCCGCTTAGTAGATTTAAATTACTGAACCACCAAAAGCTTTAGAAAAATAAACAACCGTGGTAATCATAACTGCTTGTGAGTCTGTACCCCGAGTGACCACCAGATGGAGCTCTTCCTACTAACAACAAACGTGACAGAACCAGGGTAGTTTTAGGCAAGCTGCTTTGAACTGGTGCTTGTCAAGCTGTAAGCTGCTTATAATTTAAAGTAGTAGAAATGGTTCAAACAAGTGAAAGCTTAATGGTTATGTATCTGAGCCTCTAAGAGAAGAGATAGTGAGATCGATCCCACTCCATCAGCACTGCTCCTTGAGCATGACACTTACCACTTGCTTACTCGGGGAGACAAGAGCTGGAAATGCTTTTCTGAATGGAATGCATCTGGTAGTGAAATGACAGTCAAGTAGCAAGTCTGCAGACTCTACATAATCAGCTGTCTGTATGCTAAGCTAACTAAAACAGACATTAATAGTTATTAATGACTATGATATTTATCATATTGTGATTTTGACACGTATCGTAATGTAACCAGGCTCTAAAAGCCAATGGGGTCGCTTGGGGTCCTATGGGGGATGATTTCTGATGATACTGGACTTCTCAAATAATTTATTTTGCTTAAAACACCCTCCTTTCTTGCTCTTGACTGCATGTTTGACCAATATGAACAAAGTCACCACTTTTCATGTTTTTTTTTAGATAATCCACTTCATTTGGTTATAATGCAGAAGAAATATCTGTTGCTTTTTATTGGGCCCCAGTAAAATACAGCTGTGATCCAGTAAAATATTCCTGAGATGTCTTTGTCTGATGATGATTACCATATACTGACTTGACAATTATTTTCTCAGCAATAACGTCATTTGTGTTTCTATCAGTCAGATTCACGAATGAATCACTATTGATCCAATCAGTTAAACTGGTTTGCAGTTAAAGTTCTGAAAACATTCACAGTTCAGTTTGATTCATTCAGGCCCTGTCCACACGAACGCGGTTATCTTTAAAACTGCAGCTTTTTCTATGCGGTTTGGCCGTTCGTCCACATGCAAACGCTGCACCAGGTCACTGAAACAGAATATTTTTGAAAACGCCTGCCAGGGTGAAGATTTTCAAAAACTCCGGTTGCAGTGTTATCGTGTAGTCAGCGAAACCGGAGTTTTTGACTTGTGATGTCGGAGCCTGCGCTGTTATCTCAGCCTACAGAAAACTTTTTTAGGCTTCTGATTGGCCAACATGGCTTTACGATTATCAGATTATCGCCACCTGTTGGTTTGGCATGCTCTTGACAGTGCTTCACAACATGCATTTGCATTTTCATGTGGACGGAGATTTTTTTAAAAGCGGAAGGAAAAACTGTTTATAAAAATACCTGCGTATGTGTAGACATGGCCTCAGACAGGTCACTCATACATGCATTTGCATTTTCATGTGGACGGAGATTTTTTTAAAAGCGGAAGGAAAAAAAACTGTTTATAAAAATACCTGCGTATGTGTAGACATGGCCTCAGACAGGTCACTCATGCACTGAATCGTTTGCAGTGATTTCTTATACAAAATAGTAACGCACTGAACTCTAATCAATGCCTCTCTGCCATTGAAATCCATTAAAAAAGCCAACCCGTTCTCATTTGAGAGAGAATGTGATGAAAAAGCAGCCTCGTCTTCAAATACTCCAGGGTGGCACACTGGACAAGAAGCGCCGCGCCTTGGACATCTCACACCAGACTTGTCATTTTGTACTCACTTATTCAAGTTTAAAGGAGACCTATTATGCCCATTCTTACAATATGTAATAAGTCTCAGGTGTCCCCAGAATGTGTCTGTGAAGTTTCTGCTCAAAATATCCCACAGATCATTTATCATATCATATTTTGAAAATGCCTATTTTGAGTGGAAGCAGAAACGGGCTGTTTTCGTGCCCGTCACTTTAAATGCAAATGAGCTGTTGCTCAACAGCTCCTTTTCCAGAATAGGGGGGGGGGGGATCTGAGCGGCTCATTTTTTCACAGGCTTGCAAACAAATTTACTGGGTTGTTCTTTTTCATGTTTTCTGGCTTGGTAGAAGCACCGGAGACCTGATTATGGCACTTAAACACAGAAAAAGTCAGATTTTCATGATGTGTCACCTTTAAGGAGGCAATTCAAAGAAGTGACTCTAATCAATAGTAGGTCTATACAGGCAAACGTTAACTTTGAAAATGAACCAAATGGCATCAGTGAGTTTCAATTTAGATTGTTAGAACAAAAACTGTGCAAACGGAAAAAGAAAGGGCAATCAATATTACTATTTCATATGAAGCATAGACGTTATTCAAGCCAAGAAACAAATTTATTAGTGGAAAGTGCACTCTTGCAGCCAAGGGTGAAATCAGTATGTACAAATATTTATCTCAAATAATTGTAAATGCAGTTAAATGGAAAATGATATGAGTGGTGTGGCAGGAATTGATGCTGAAGTCAAAATTTTAACATGTGGTGCTTCTCGTCCAGTGTGCAACCCTCTTTGCGCTTTATTTTGCTAATGCTGTAGGCTCTAGTTTGAAGGGCATGTTTTATGAATCATAACGAGTGATAGAAATGAATATTATTGATAATTTCATATTCAGATGATGTTATTTGAGTTTATTGTTCACTCTATAATTTTATTTAGGCTACTTTATGTTTCTAATTTGAATATGTGACATGCCGTAATAAACGTCTGAATTGGAAATACGAGTTTCCTATGTGAATCAGTCGTTTCCTATGCATCAGTCCTTTACTAACTGCTTGTATCCTAAATCTGTACTATCTGTGGCAGGGGATCTTTAAACTGTACAACATACCTGCATCATTAGATGAACTTCACTCAGCATGTTGTTTTATTGTTTCTCTGTTCGTCGGCCATACAAAGGATTACAGCTGTAGGAATCCCCAAATTTATACATAGACGTTAAACATCATGCTAACAAAGTATTAAATTTGTACAAAAATACTTTACAGCTCATAATACCTGTCCATTAGAAATAAAAATACAATATTTTAGGGACATAACCGTGACATTGATTGAATCATAAAATTATTGTATACTGAAAATGGACACCCACTATTTTAATTGGCAGTGCTTGACTTCACTAAACGTTTCCACAAATGTAACATAAAATGACTTGTTTCACTTGACTGGAGTGTATTTGTAGTAACACAGTGAAGTGTTGTAACAAACAATAGGTCAAGGTCAAGGAAAGCGTAATGAAAGTGACAACTAACTTTTGAATCAGGGCTTGAAAACCATAATTCAACATGTAGCGAATTGAGAAACATCTCTGTGCATGAGTTTGGGGAATGCACCCGTACCTGAAAGTTTATCTGAAATAAAACAAAAACAAAAGATACCTTTTCATCATCGTCAAACCTTCTCCATCAAGTGGGCTTGATGAGGTTTTTGTTCGGTTCAGGAGTTGGACCACAATGTGCCATTTGAAAATAGTGAGTAGACAGGATCTTTGAGCACTGACAACGAGGGTGATGTCACTCAATCAAAAGCACAGTTTCACACAGGTGGGTGAGGGTCTTCATTGCCATTAGCAGCTTACCTATGGCATTTTTTTTCTTTACTAATATAATTTTTTTCCAAGTAGAGCTACAAATGTGATGTTTATTGGTCTACCACATACGGTAGAAAAAATGTTGTAACAAACAATAGGTCAAGGTCAAGGAAAGCGTAATGAAAGTGACAACTAACTTTTGAATCAGGGCTTGAAAACCATAATTCAACATGTAGCGAATTGAGAAACATCTCTGTGCATGAGTTTGGGGAATGCACCCGTACCTGAAAGTTTATCTGAAATAAAACAAAAACAAAAGATACCTTTTCATCATCGTCAAACCTTCTCCATCAAGTGGGCTTGATGAGGTTTTTGTTCAGTTCAGTAGTTGGACCACAATGTGCCTTTTGAAAATAGTGAGTAGACAGGATCTTTGAGCACTGACAACGAGGGTGACGTCACTCAATCAAAAGCACAGTTTCACACAGGTGGGTGAGGGTCTTCATTGCCATTAGCAGCTTACCTATGGCATTTTTTTTCTTTACTAATATAATTTTTTCCAAGTAGAGCTACAAATGTGATGTTTATTGGTCTACCACATACGGTAGAAAAAAATCCATTCTCTCATGATTTGACACTTCGTATTTTTTCTCTTTACAAATGGATTGCGTACCCTTTGGGCTTACACAGTCTGGGAAAAAAATGTCAGATGAGACATAAAACCATAACAGTACCATATACAAATTACCATAATGATTGATAACTTTTTAAACCATGTGGGGAGGAATACAAAAGTCTTTTCAGGATTTTTTTTTTTACTCATGGACATCAACCCCATGCTTGCGTTTTTGTCATAAGTGGATACTGCAAATTTAAGCAATTGAGATGAATTTGTTTGTCGTAATATTCTCATTTATCACAGACAGCGGAGTAAACAATATGCGAGTACCTACTTGAATGCCTGTCGTTTTCATTTAGAAGATTGATGTTGGAATAAATAAGCTGTTCTATCCTTTGGGCCAATGATGGATTTCCTCAAAATGTGGGGCGAGAGTCTGGAGACCGCAGACCTACGGCGGTTACCTAACAAAGTACAAAGAGTTTTCGACCTGAATGACCTTCTCCGTGCCATCAATCTGCTGCGGTACATGGTCGATAGCGACCTCATGCTAACCAGTCATCGCTCAAAATCACACGCATCTCTTATAAATCATCCGCCTCTATTCATAAAAATAGACATCTGTCCAATTTCAAGATAAGGTGCCTTTGTGCCACCCTCTCCTTATACGAGTGACATTGGATTTCATATTTACGGTGATATAGCGGACAGAGAACCGAAACATGGTGTTTTTCATTTAGCCAAGCGCTTGTGTTTTTTTTTTGGACAGAAGTACTACAAAATAGTTAATTAAAAGGTCTCATGCATTAGGCTATAACCCACATTCAGTCACAATTGAAAAATGGCTACCGAATTCATTGTGCTGATTATTTTTTCCCCCCACACACAGCTGTATCCTCTCTCTCATCGAGCGAGAAAAGGGATCTGACCTTGGCATCAGATAGAAGGAAATACACGGACATACACTATACACACATTTGTGTTTCAGTATCACAAAATAGGAGGATCGACGGTTGCGTTTCAAACATGGAACTTTGACAGACTTCGTGGAGGCTTGCGAAATAAAGTCTCGGGACACGCGCACACTCATTCAAACTCACACAAATACGGACAATCACAGAGTGGCCAGTCCGATATCGTAAGTAAAAGTCTCAGTGTTGCTTTTATGCATTCTTTTTTTAAGTCCTTCTTAAAACTATTCTCGTTTATTGGCAATAAAAATTAGGGATGGCACTGTTTCAGGTTCCCCCCCCCCACAATTTGGTTTTCCAAGAGGTCAGTGTGGTCTTCGCCGCCATTTTCACAGGGTAAAAACACACCCAGCTTGTCAGGAAAGGACCTCTTAGTCATGGTGGTTCATGCTCTGACTTAGGAAAGGGACTGGGTGTGTGCTATAGGACAACAAGCCCCTCTCGTTTTACTCCACTAGAGGGAGCCGTTTTAGGGAGGGGAGGGTTCGCTTTAGCACCATGAGGAAGAGCGCTCCACTGCAGGCACCTGGGAGGAGTTCTGCTATAAAGTCTTGTTGGGGTCTCTGTCCTCTAGTCCCGCTAGCGTGGAATTGTGCTGGCCCTGCTCCAGCCCTGCGGTGGGCTGCTCGAGAGGGTCCCCGGGGTCAGTCCAGTTCACTGCCTCGTCATTGGAAAACGGGTTCAGTTCTGAGGGCTGCGAGGAAACCGGGTTTCGGCTTATGACTAGATCCAGTTTGTTCCCGGACTCTGCTATAAGAGGAACCACTAAACAGCAGTCAAAGTCTCTAGTCCGGACGTGGTTTATCTGTGGCACAAAGCAAGCATAAATTTAGATCACTAAACTCGAGGGGGGAGGGGTGAAATGGAATTTGGGCCCTATGTACTTGTTGTCCAATAATACCATGGGTCTGCATCACTGTAGCTCACCTGTAGAAGTCTATCGTATGGCTTGAGTCCTCCGATTTCAGCAGGGCCACCTGGACGGATATTGTTTACATAAACCCCCTTCTCCAAGACTCCGTCAGACACGCTAAACCCGAAGTCCTCAAGGTCCGAGTCCTTCAAAAGGCTCACCTATGAATGTGGGGGCAGTTACACACATTAAGCTGCTGTATAGCCAATTTATCAAGAAATGACTAAAACCTAAAAACCTGTATTCTCACCTTATGAAGCTCAACTGGGGTAGGCGACATGATGTCTTTAATCTCTTGCTTCATTCTCCTCATGGCGAAAGCTTTTCTGCCGACGTCGGTGGGCAGCGTGTTGCTGCGGTTGGCCTGTGTGTATTGTGGTTTGTTGCTGCCACGTTCCTGAAAGCTGGCCTGGCGGCCCAGATGGCTTCGGGTGGGTGCAGGATCGTGGTTTAAACTCAAAGAGCTGCCCGACATGATGGTGGCCTACAGGGAAAACCATGAGGAACGGAGCTGAATATGAATAAATATAAGTGCTGTAAAGGTTATGGAGAAAAATGCATTCAAAATACACCTTTATGTAAATGTTTGTGTTCAAAACTACTGTTCAAAAGTTAGGATCAGTATGTATTTTTTCATTTTTAATACTTTTCGTGCAAGGATGCATTCAACTGATCAAAAGTGACAAGTAAAGACATTTATATGGTGTCTTATATGTAATATAATATTAATATATTAAAATAGAAAAACGGTTTCACAATTTTACTGTTTTACTGTATTTTTGATCAACTGAATGCAGCTTGGTGAGGTTAAGATACTTTTAAAACATCACCTAAAAAAATTCTTACCAACTCCAAATTTTTGAACGATAGTTACATTGACAGTGAAACACCCATAAACACTCATTATGTCAGAGTTCAGACTAACAGTTTGTGTTACATTTGTTTAGTATGTTATAAGAAGCAAAATGCTGATGGACAACGATACACAAACTTTTAGTAACATGCATTTTTACACACTAATGGGCGGTTTGAACCGCTTCGACTTCCACCATGGCAAGCCATGGCAATGATTAAACGAACATTATGAACGGTGGGCATTTTTTTTTTTTTTATGTTTCTTGAAGTCCTTTGAAGATGATCTTCAAAAAGAACCCGGTTCTGGTTCGGCTTGTGCTGAGGACACTACTACACAAGACTGAAATATTTCCACAACAATAAGCCTTGCTGCAGCTCTTCCATCATGCTTAGCATGAGCCCACATAGCAACCTAGTTTTCAAATGTTTTTTTTTCGCAAGCTCTGAGTGAGTGCAAATGTTTTTTTGTAATTGTTATTTAGCAAAAAAGGTGTTTGTACTGATGCATTTAATTTCTTTTTCAGAAGAAAAATATAGGTTGTTGAAGTTAGCTTCTGAAAGCATTACCGATGATGTCATTTTCGTAAACGTTTTGGCAGTTTCTGACCTGTGAATTCTTTATGATTTTTTTAGGGGTTTCAAGCAGTGTTCTTATCTGGAATAAAAAAATAAAATAAATATGCTGAAAAACTTCTAATCTTAAAAACATACAATTAAAAATGTTACCTTGGTAACTAACTGAAATAAGATATGTTTAAGTTGAAGCAGAAAGCACACTAAATGACTAAAACAAAAATTTAAATGAAAACCAAAATATAAAAATAGGGGATTTTTTTTGGGGTTTCCAGCAGTGTTGTTATCTGGAGGAAAAATACAAATATTATTATAAAATAATAAAAATAAATAAAAAAACAATAAAATAAATATGCTGAAAAAATTTATCTTAAAAACTTAAACGAAAATTAAAAATGTTACCTTAGTAATTAACTAGAATAAGATGAAGCGGAAAGTACACTTAATTACTAAAACAAAAATTTTAATGCAAATCAAAATATAAAAATAAAAGCTAATTTAAAATATTAATAAATACTACAACAGTATATAAATAAATACTAAAATAACCCTGGTTTGCAGTGACTGGATAAAAAAAAATGGATTAAAACATTCTACATATTTGCGCTCACGAGAGCAATTTCTAACCGAAGAGCACAACTTGTAACTAAATTACATTCACTATAGAGATGTTCATTGTTCTTTCAATTTTTTTAATTAGATTATTTATTAATTAAGAATTAATTAAAATATTTGAATGATTTTACCATTACATCTTTTACATTTATTGAAACTTCCAGGTTTTTTTAGGTATATTTTAACTGGCATTTTAATTTTAAGTAATCAAACTTTTTTCTTATCTTTGCATACAGGTGCATCTCAATAAATTAGAATGTCGTGGAAAAGTTCATTTCAGTAATTCAACTCAAATTGTGAAACTCGTGTATTAAATAAATTCAATGCACACAGACTGAAGTAGTTTGTCTTTGGTTCTTTTAATTGTGATGATTTTGGCTCACATTGAACAAAAACCCACCAATCTCAACAAATTAGAATATGGTGACATGCCAATCAGCTAATCAACTCAAAACACCTGCAAAGGTTTCCTGAGCCTTCAAAATGGTCTCTCAATTTGGTTCAATAGGCTACACAATCATGGGCAAGACTGCTGATCTGACAGTTGTCCAGAAGACAATCATTGACACCCTTCACAAGGAGGGTAAGCCACAAACATTCATTGCCAAAGAAGCTGGCTGCTCACAGAGTGCTGTATCCAAGCATGTTAACAGAAAGTTGAGTGGAAGGAAAAAGTGTGGAAGAAAAAGATGCACAACCAACCGAGAGAACCGCAGCCTTATGAGGATTGTCAAGCAAAATCGATTCAAGAATTTGAGTGAACTTCACAAGGAATGGACTGAGGCTGGGGTCAAGGCATCAAGAACCACCACACACAGACGTGTCAAGGAATGTGGCTTATTGTCAAGAGGAAAATGAGAAACAAGAGACCAAAAAATGCAGATGAGCTGAAGGCCACTGTCAAAGAAACCTGGGCTTCCATACCACCTCAGCAGTGCCACAAACTGATCACCTCCATGCCACGCCGAATTGAGGCAGTAATTAAAGCAAAAGGAGCCCCTACCAAGTATTGAGTACATGTACAGTAAATTAACATACTTTCCAGAAGGCCAACAATTCACTAAAAATGTTTTTTTATTGGTCTTATGAAGTATTCTAATTTGTTGAGATAGTGAATTGGTGGGTTTTTGTTAAATGTGAGCCAAAATGATCACAATTAAAAGAACCAAAAACTTAAACTACTTCAGTCTGTGTGCATTGAATTTATTTAATACACGAGTTTCCCAATTTGAGTTGAATTACTGAAATAAATGAACTTTTCCATGACATTCTAATTTATTGAGATGCACCTGTACATGACTACAAAATTACTCAATACCTATCTCTAATGTGAATGTAAATAAGCTTGCAACAACATAATTGTGAATAAATGAAGGCAGAATCTTGGTGAACTACACCTTTAACACGTCATAATTCATTTCGAATACACCCCTAGGATCTGAAGTGGATGCCAGTAGTAGTTGTCTGTGACCCCCTCCCCCCTCCCCCCCTCAAGCAGGCCCCCAGCAAGAGAAACTGAGCCCCTTAGCACGAGAAGAGCACTTGGGTGCCAGCACTACAAGCAAAAGAGGAAGCCCAAAGAAAGGAAAGGGGTACCAAGATGGCCAGGTTTCTCTTATTCAGAAGCCTGTCTGGCTTGTCCTGAAAAAAGAAGGAGCTGTTACACAAAACCAGGGTTGGTACAGCATGCTACTGAAAAAAGATTGTGTAGGGGGGTTGATGAATGGAAAGAGCTAGAGGATGAATGTAGGGAGAGGGGAATGAACACAAACAGATGCCATTTTTCTTCCCGAGTTACCTCAAGTTCTCGCAGGATCCCGGATTGGCCACACGTTTCCAGGTCTTCGAGCGCTTGGGACCAGAAGTTCTCTTCCTGGTCTGGCTCAGTCCCGTCGTGTCCCACAGTGAACCTGTTTGAAACACAAATGGGACGTTTTAACCACTGGGTATGTCAAAAAAGCGGCAGCCAATGAGCAGGCAGGCGTCACAGTGATGAACGCAAGGGACGACCAATGATCTGTGCAGGCTATGGTGGGGCTCTTGAAGAGAGACACATACACACACACCCGGTGCAGTCGGACACACTGTGATGGGCGGTGATGTCCTGGTGGATTGTGGGGCTTTGGGTTATGAAGTGAAAGGGCCGGATTGGTTCGGGGAAGCAGTGCAGGTTAACAGGCACACAGCACTGAACCTCACCTGCTGTCTGAGATTAAACCGGTGGGCAGCGTGGATGCCCTGTAATGGGAAATCAGCTTCAATCAATAACACAAACGTCAAACCAGTTCACTCAGTCTGTCAGTGTTTTAGACTTGACATCTTGTATAGAACACATTTTGAGGGCCTTCATTTAAAAAGCATTATAAAACCATTCTCAAATGACAAAGAAATATGTGTTGGAGAAAACGAGGGAAGTTTTGCATTATGCAGTTCTTCTTATTTAAATACAGACTACAGAATGCTGACAATATTTGAAAAGACCAATACATTAAAGTTGCAGTAGTTTCTTTTCCTTAGAACAAGTTTATATTATGTTTTTCTAGAGTATATCTGATATAGATGATCTGTTGTAGCTACATTTGTAGCGGTTTAAAGTCAACAAGAAATGGTCTGCAATTCATTTAACCTCAATATTAGAGTGACACAAAAATTGTAGGGTGCAGTTTTACAGAGGCATTGCAACTACTAAAAAATATAGAAAAAAGAAAATAATAAAATAAATAATAATAATAATAAAAAATGTATAATTATTTCCCAAAATTTTGAAGTTTGAAAATCATCATCATATTTTAAAATAAAAATTATATACAGTATATATATATATATATATATATATATATATATATATATATATATACACATACATACATACACGTAAAGCATCAACTAGTGTTGTTAATGTTAACAAAGTATTAAAATCATTTTCAGTATTTAAAATTAAGCTGAAATACAATAAAATATAAATATTAAATGAATTAAAAACGTTGCCAATTAACTGAAATAAATTTGAAAAAAAGGTTTATTGTTGGTTTTAATTCATTTAAATAAAGTTTTAAGTTGAAGTTCTTAAACCGAAGTAAAAATAAAGCTAAACAGAAACATGAAAAAGCAAAACATAAAGATTATGAACACAAAATGACTAAACCTTGAATGATAATTAAAATGAAAACTGAAAATATTAAAATGATAAAAAAACTAATAATAAATATCATGATAGTATTAATACTAAAATAACATTCATGTCATCCTTAAAGTCCGCATGAAATCAAAATGGACTTTATTTACTTTATTAGCGCACATTGCTAGTCTTTATGTGAACAATTAATCCGTGCAAGTTAATCCGCTGAAAAAAAAAAAAATCTTGGTAATCAAAATCTGATAATTTGCTTCCGCTCTGGAATGGCATTCCTTTTCTGATGACGTCAGTTTGACGGCTTGGGCAAAATATCCTCAATCACACCCCTCCAACCATTAGGTTGCTATGAGAGGAGGAGCGCAAAAAGAAAACCATGCCCTCTATTCAATATTCCATTTCAGCTGGAAATACGTCACTACACTGAAATAAAGTCAGCAGCAACTTCCGGTTTACGCAGACTTTAATACCAAAACAAATCCCTCTAATAAATGCACAACTGATAAATCATAATCCTAATCTGGTTAATTCCCACTCATATGCTTTTCAGCCAATCAGCTACAACTACTGGATGAAAGCTCTGCCAGCTGATTAATATTTATGAGCCAGGCTGATTTATAATGTCTCCAATTTCAGTTCATTCCTACACCCCTGATTTTATTCATCAGGATTTAACTGGATTGTGAAAAGTTGGCAGAACTTGGCACATTATGCGCAGATGAACTGTGCACAGTAAGGCCAGGGATGTGTATTAAGAAACTAAGCAAATGAGGTCAGCGTTGATTTCATGTTGACTTTAAGGCAGCTCACAGTCACCATTAAATGGAAACGGTACAATCCTGTGAAGAAAACTCAAAGGGTGATCATAACTCCAGTGTCAGCTAAATACTTTAAAAAGGCCTTTTTCCTTCCTAAGAGCCGCTGGCTTCATTACTGTGCATAGGGGCCCTTTACTCCTTTGATCTACAGCACAATGAATCTGAATTACAAATATCCAATGGTATGAGCTAACAAAGAATAAAGTAAAATCACCCCAGAAACGATCGATCAAAGCTCCAGTAACAGTGCGTTTGACAATACAATGTGCTGCAGATTGTACCACGCAGATCAGTTATTATGACTGAGAGTCACATTTTGGGTTGAAACGAAGACTATTACACACAGAATTCAGAGAAATGTTGCTGAAGACCCACTTGATGTGAATATTAAAGTCAGTTCACTTCTAGAAATTGTTTTGATGGCCTCGTCTAAGATTGTCTTTTGAATTTAATGAATTTGAGAAGTCAACAAAACATTTTTATAGACATGGTTAAGCAGCATTGACTTCAATGCCTTTCTGTAGTCTGGCACTAAACTAGTCCATGATTCAATGGATACTGACACTTCAGTACTTCATTTTTAGGAAAATAAAGCGGTAATATGTTTTATGGAATAATAATGTCTGCAATGGCACCAAAGTTCATTGCTTCAATCTGTTTCACTCAGAAGCCTTGTGTACTCTGCTAATGTAGTATAAAATGCTTTCAATGAACTCAAGTCATCACATTAACCATCAAATAGACCTGGCAGCCTTAATATATTCTTAATATCTCACCCCAAAATGACGTTCTCTCATTATTTACCCATTATTTGTCATTATTTTCATGTTGTTCCAAACCCTGACTTCTTTCTGCTTAACAAAAGAAGAATCTTTGAAGATCTTTCATGTAGCTCTTGAACATAATGATAATTGATAAAACTGTCAAGGTCCATAAATGTTTCATGAATGAAAATAACAGCATAGGAGTTTGGAACGACATGATGACTAGTAAATAGTGAACTGATCCTATATAAAAAATTCATTATATGCTGGAATGTGTATTTAAACTGTTGTGTATAATTTACAAGTAGTATATTGATGTACCCGCTAGCGCTTGGCCTGTCCCAGTCATCCACACCGAGTCCAAAGTCTGGCAGGATGTTGTTCCTCTGCCGGCTGCTGTTCACCGGGGAGAGGCTGCCCCGGCCGGGCTTGGCATTCCTCCACTCATGACTGTGGAAACTGTAGCCCGATGCCTGGAAACCTGTGGGAGCTGAAACAAACACACACAAGCAGAGTCCAAAATTAATCTTTTGCTACTTCTGCCAATAGTGGGTGAAAATATCTAAATAATTCCACTGAAACAAAACTAATAAATAACAATAATAATAATAATAGTAGTAGTAGTAGTATAGTGGGCTGTTTGAGCTAAATTCAGTTCCATTCATTGTTCCATTGAAATAATAATAATGCTAAATTAAATTCAGATAAAATAGCTAAATAATTACATCGAAACAAAACTAATAACTAAAATAAACAACAACAACAACAATAATAATAATAGCAGCTAAATAATAATAGCTACATTCAGCTGAATTTCCAACTTCCATGGAAATAATAATAATAAGGCTAAATTCAATTTTTAAATAGCTATAAGATTCACTGAAACAAAACTAATAACTAACTAAATAATATTGATGATAATAATAATAACAATTTAGCTAAATTCAACGGAACTAAAATATTTCAGATAAAATAAAAACTCTAAAACTAAAATATAATCATTATTACAATAAGTAAATAAACAAACAAACAAACAAAAACAAAGAATAAAGTAAAATCACCCCAGAAACGATCGATCAAAGCTCCAGTAACAGTGCGTTTGACAATACAATGTGCTGCAGATTGTACCACGCAGATCAGTTATTATGACTGAGAGTCACATTTTGGGTTGAAACGAAGACTATTACACACAGAATTCAGAGAAATGTTGCTGAAGACCCACTTGATGTGAATATTAAAGTCAGTTCACTTCTAGAAATTGTTTTGATGGCCTCGTCTAAGATTGTCTTTTGAATTTAATGAATTTGAGAAGTCAACAAAACATTTTTATAGACATGGTTAAGCAGCATTGACTTCAATGCCTTTCTGTAGTCTGGCACTAAACTAGTCCATGATTCAATGGATACTGACACTTCAGTACTTCATTTTTAGGAAAATAAAGCGGTAATATGTTTTATGGAATAATAATGTCTGCAATGGCACCAAAGTTCATTGCTTCAATCTGTTTCACTCAGAAGCCTTGTGTACTCTGCTAATGTAGTATAAAATGCTTTCAATGAACTCAAGTCATCACATTAACCATCAAATAGACCTGGCAGCCTTAATATATTCTTAATATCTCACCCCAAAATGACGTTCTCTCATTATTTACCCATTATTTGTCATTATTTTCATGTTGTTCCAAACCCTGACTTCTTTCTGCTTAACAAAAGAAGAATCTTTGAAGATCTTTCATGTAGCTCTTGAACATAATGATAATTGATAAAACTGTCAAGGTCCATAAATGTTTCATGAATGAAAATAACAGCATAGGAGTTTGGAACGACATGATGACTAGTAAATAGTGAACTGATCCTATATAAAAAATTCATTATATGCTGGAATGTGTATTTAAACTGTTGTGTATAATTTACAAGTAGTATATTGATGTACCCGCTAGCGCTTGGCCTGTCCCAGTCATCCACACCGAGTCCAAAGTCTGGCAGGATGTTGTTCCTCTGCCGGCTGCTGTTCACCGGGGAGAGGCTGCCCCGGCCGGGCTTGGCATTCCTCCACTCATGACTGTGGAAACTGTAGCCCGATGCCTGGAAACCTGTGGGAGCTGAAACAAACACACACAAGCAGAGTCCAAAATTAATCTTTTGCTACTTCTGCCAATAGTGGGTGAAAATATCTAAATAATTCCACTGAAACAAAACTAATAAATAACAATAATAATAATAATAGTAGTAGTAGTAGTATAGTGTGCTGTTTGAGCTAAATTCAGTTCCATTCATTGTTCCATTGAAATAATAATAATGCTAAATTAAATTCAGATAAAATAGCTAAATAATTACATTGAAACAAAACTAATAACTAAAATAAACAACAACAACAACAACAATAATAATAATAGCAGCTAAATAATAATAGCTACATTCAGCTGAATTTCCAACTTCCATGGAAATAATAATAATAAGGCTAAATTCAATTTTTAAATAGCTATAAGATTCACTGAAACAAAACTAATAACTAACTAAATAATATTGATGATAATAATAATAACAATTTAGCTAAATTCAACGGAACTAAAATATTTCAGATAAAATAAAAACTCTAAAACTAAAATATAATCATTATTACAATAAGTAAATAAACAAACAAACAAACAAATAAATACATAAATAAATGAATGAACAAATACAAGCTGTTTGACTAAATGAGATCACAATGTTACTTGCATTTGGCACTTGGAATGTACTTTTGTACCCTGCACACAATTAGCCTGCTGATAAAAGAAAAAAGCTACGGCAATAAACTGTTCCCAAAAGAGAGTACATGTATGCATTATGCTGCACTCTCGCACAACACCGACACAGAAGCTGCTGGATGCACAGGTTCCCAGGCTCCCATCATTAATCTGGATCAGGACTGCTGGAGGGCAGAGTGAAGACTATAGGGAGAGCAGAGAACAACATGCTGGCTGTGTTCACACACTCATCTCCGGAGGGAGCCACAGCATTGTGTTTCATACGCTTCGCTCCGATTCTCCCTCGGTGACCACCGCCAAACGCTGCATAGCCTCGGGGTTTTCAGATTCACCAGCTATTCAATAAGGATTAACTGCTTGTGATTTGCTCACCCCTCAGGGCTTGAGAAGGTGGAGGAATCCTTAATAAGACTCTCGATAGCTATTTTAGTGTTGAGTCCCTTTTTCAAGAAAGAAGTGTTTGAAATGCTGAATGATGATACATTCAGACATTAATATCCCTCTAACTGCGCATGTGCAGCCGATGTGCATGCTACCGATGTTGCTCCTACGCAGACAGCAATGTGCAGAAGCCAGACAAACAAAACCAGCAACAATGTCTCGAATCCGAGTTAAAACTTCTAGCTGCATTTACACTGATTTACAGATATAAGATATACATCAAAAAGACAAAACAGGTCATCTTGAAAAATCAAGACACAAAAATAACAGTAAGTCCTGGTTCTTAATGGGTTTTGCTATCAAATTTGTTTATTTTATAAAAGTCATAGAAATCATTTATTAATATTACCACTAACAACATATGCTAAATAAATTAAATAGGCAGAATAGGAAAATGTAATACATTGAATAAGAAAATGCACAAACATCAGAAGAGTGATGTAGCCTGAACCTGTATTTAACGTCTTATATAAAAATAAATAAATAAAATAAAATGTATTCATATATTTAAACTATTCTTTAAATAATTAATTTTCAAATCATAAATATTTATTTGTTTTATTATTATTATTATAAAAGATACCTAGCAAATATGCTATATTATATGGTTTATTTTATAAAAGTCATAGAAATCATTTATTAATATTACCACTAACAACAAAAGTATATGCTAAATAAATTACATCAAATATGTTTTACTCAGCAAGAACAAAAATGAGATTGAATATTGCATACAGGCAGACCATTAATCGTATTAGACGTCAGACATATGGTTTCTTTAACTTTCCCAGGTATCAAGTTCAGAGTCAGTTTTGGCCTTATCTCTGGATACAGCTGTACTAGTTGAATCCCATGAGAGCCAATAGTTTGCCAGCAACCTTAAATTTATGCTCTGTCCACATCATCCATAATTTAAGGGGCTGATTGCTGCTCCTGTGAATGGTTTCCATATCTCTGCAACCATCTGAGATTCATTTATGTATGGAGCAGCGAGAGAAAGACAGCAGCGCTGCCTGAGGGGGGAGAGCAACCATATGAACCTGTTAACATGAGCGGAAAGTGTCTTTCCACCCCATCAGAGCGAGAGACACGGAAAATGACATACGAGATGAAAGGTGTTTTTGAGGAGGTGTATGTCAGCAACACTGGGATGAATTAATCATCTCTACATGAATTAAAAATTATGACATTCAAATTATATTCATATTAACATTTGCATTTCCAAAAGGAAATAGTGCTTGCATATTCACTGTTGTTATCATTATTACAAACAAACTAAATTATTTTTAATTTAAATTTAATTGAAGTAAAATACCAAAATTATTCTATTGAAAAAAAATGAAATATATTAATATACATTTTTTATTATCATTACTGTATTCAATTTAATATGTTCAATTTAAATTCAGTTTAACTGAAATTGCTAAATGAAAATTGCTATTAATATTAATAATAATAATAATAAAATTCATTTGAGCAAAAATAGCTAAATTATTAATTGAAACAAAAATAACAAATTATTTAAAATTTTTAACCAAACATTTATTACAAAAAAAAAAAAAAAACATTTGTGTGTGTGTATATGGATTAAAAATGACCAGCCAACTGGTGATTTCACAGTTTTACTTGGTTTTGGCACAAGGTAGCATATTAATTGTATATACATTGAAAAATAAAATAAATAAATAAATATAAATATAAATATATATATATATATATAAATAAATTTTCCTAAAGCATGCCTAAACATGAAATTATCTACAAAGCTAAATTTGCAGAGAATTGTGGTGAAGAAATCTTACTCCTTACATACTTACATTTGTTTGTAGATAATTAAACCTTGAGAATCAGTTAGCAAACTGTTATTTCAGTGCTTTCAATTATTTTCACTGCTTTGCATATACACGGTTAAGCGTGGGAGTAATGCTTATATGTATTATTCATAAATGAATAGGAAGCATTTCTCTGAATTAAACATTCAAATGTGTGATGTGCCTACTTGGCATTCTCAGAGCAAGCGATGATTGTGATTAGTTTTGACCAGGAGGCCTCAGTGTCAGGAGAGCTGACTGCAATTCAAACACATTACTGGCGAGTTATCCAAATGGCCGTGTGTATCCCAGCGCTCATTAGGACTAATTTTCCACTTAGTAAAATAATGCATTCTTCCATATTAGCCCCAGCACTGTACCACCAGCTGGCCTAATAAAAGACACGTATCCCACTGCAGATTATTCCAAATAATTACTAGAGTAAATACATATCTGCGGGTCCAAAGAGAATGGAAAACTCAATTAAACCTACATTAGACCTGCTGGGACTCATCAGAACCCCCAGGATGCAATGGGACCAACACTGTTGGTGTTGTAGCTAATGTGAGAGAACAGGTGGTGTAACCATGGTGACTGTGAGGAACCCATACCAGGTTAAAAAAGCCTGTATTGTGCGTCATTGTGATATTAAAGGGACAAATTCTGTCATTATTTACTCACTCTCTTGTCATTATGTTGTCAAAAAGACAACAAAAAGCCCCATAAAAGAAAAATGTTGTCCTGAACAGGCTACTCAATACAATAAAAGTAAATGGGTATGAGGATTGTTAAGCTCCAAAAAGGACAACACATAGGTCTTAAAAGAACCATAAAAGTGATTGCACAACTTAAAATAATACGTTTTCTTAAGTCATAAGATCTGAAATCTCATTTGCATTTGCAAACATTCAAATCATCATTGTGCTTTATTTGAATATATCCAGATGCCAATGAGATTGGAGTGCTATGATGAATTTCGTCATTTTGCAGCTCAAATTTTATTGCAAAAAGAGTAGCAAAAACATTTTGCTAAAGCTCTTTTTTACTGTTTTCTGGAAGAAAATATGGAATGGCATGAGTATGCGTAATTGATGCTAAAATATAAATTTTTGAATGAAGTATTCTTTTAACGTTTTCATGACAATGCTTTCCTTGAGCTTGAGGCTGCTGGGATCATTTCTATGCCAAATTATTAACTAGAAACCAACTTTGACTCCTGCTTGTCTCTGACCAATTGTCATTTTGTTTGCAATTAGAAACCGAAAATGCCTGCTGGATATATATATATATATATATATATATAATTTTAAACATAATTTACAGAAGTAAATTTTGGTTTCACGTTGTTATGCTGAAGCATGTAGCTCCAATCAAATTTTTGCCTAAAGGGTACTGAGACTTATTTACTGTGATAAAGCTTATTCAAAACCTGAAAGGTAGAAACACTAATAGCATTTCGTAAAAAGTTCTAAAACATTTTTAAAACCAGTAACACTCAAATTTACCTTGGGTGCTGAAGGGGGCGTCCATGGCAGAGCCGTCCCAGGATTCCACTGCGCTGTCCACGCTGGGAATGGTGGTGGAATAGATATCTGAGAGTTTACCGGGTTTCTGCCCAGCCTGACTGTCATCCTCCATATCGCTCAGATCATTCAAACGCCCCGTTACTGAAGGCTGCTTCGGGCTTGCCACTATAGAAAGAAGGAATAAAGACAACGATTGACTCGGCCCACGGATCACAGTCAATAGACCAGAGAGATCCAGACTTTACTGGATATTGGGCCCACAAATCAGTGCTCATTTTATCTTTTATTCTTTGATAAGGAACTTTACCTCTTCTACTGTCAGTCTACAGTATATGATAGATGGAGACAAAACTAATCAGACCTTATGCTTTAATGACTCACGGCTAGGCAGCTTTATTGCGTTTTAGAGCTACCAAGATGTACAGTTATGTGGGAGTTAATGGGTGAGAGAAAGAGCGACAGAGACAATAAGAGTGAAAGAATGTGCCAATCAAAAGTTTGGGAAATATAAGAAGACAATAATGTTTTAGAAAAGTAGTAAATTATTCAAATTTTAAAAGAACACAAAAACAAGTATGAGAATAAATTAACCAAAAAAGGTAAACAATTAAAACAAACCCTTCACTATACACCCCAAAACATCAAACAATCAAATAAATAAATACATTTTATACAAATAATAAAATAGTTATTTTGTAAAGAGATTCATAGATGGGCACTATTTATATATTTGTATAAAAAATTAGCACAAGCCTTCAGCTTGTAAGGTTTTTTATGAGAAGGGAGTTCAGCCCTTTGACTGGTAGTGTACAAATAAAGAGCCATTTGGCTGTAAGTGTGCATGTCAGCACTCACATTCTCCCTGCTTCTTGATCTTCAGTGTGACGGACTCCCCTGCCATCTGCAGCAGGTGGATGGCCTCACTGAGAGGTTTGCCCTTCAGACTGTTGCTGTTAATGGCCAGGATGCGATCACCAATGTGGATGGCACCGGTCCTGTGGAGACAAGAGCACACCAAATAACTCTTACATGGAGAGAAAACGTGAAAGAAAAGGAACCGAAAGGAAAACAAATAGTAATGGGATAAAAATACTAGAGATGTCAATTTAATCCACCATTGACCATTTGCTAAGTCCCTTAAAAAATATATTTTTTTTATTTAGCAACTACTTTAGCATGCCATCTGCCATGTTTTTTTTCTATTTTTAATTTAAAAAAATAGATTTTCTAGTGTATATCTGTGGAAGAACTGTTTCTTTTGGATAATTTATATATAGGTGTATAATTGCAATATAAATTATTTAAATTACTGAAGATAATTAAATAAATTATTGATTTATTATAATACATTCTAATTTTGTTATATTTAATTAATATTGCAATTTCATATATACACGCACACAAAATGCAATATTAATTAGGTTTGAATCAGAAATATAAATATTTGCTGAAGATAATTTATATACAGATTTATACATATATTGTTATTATTAAAAATTATGTTGTTATAAATATAGAATTTTCAGATTGCATATATTTACTTTGATTAATCAGCACATTATGTAATTTGATTAAAATTGCTAATTGATTGACAAACCTAAAAAACATAACTAAAAATGAAAGCGAGAAACAACTGATTATGCTTACAGAAAGCAATAAACTAGAGAGTAGTGGTGGAAAGAATCGGAAAGGAAGTATAGGCAATTGGAGAAAAGAATGATGGAAGATAATAGAAGTGGTGCATCCAGAAAAAAAAAGCAAAAAATGAGAAACGGAAAATATAAGGGATTGGCAAAATGGAGATATTCACATGCATAATACAAAAAATGGGATATTGGCTCTGTGATCCATTTCAAAAATGGATACTGCACCTACCTCTACAAATCATACACCTTATCATCCAAAGCAGAACAAAACCTCCATATCCTGGGCCCACAATGCATTTCAAAAATCTAAATGTCAGATGTCAGACATTTCATTTTGCCCAAAGTGACTTAGTGCATTCAAGCTGTATATTATATCAGTATGTGTGTCCTTGGGGGATTCTCGTGCCAGCTGAGCTACAGGAATCATAATGTAAATTCATTATGAGACTGAACTCATTTTGCATGAGCTCAGCAAACAGACGTGACTACAGCAACAGCAAAATCCACTTTAAAGTGTTCTATAAAATATTAGTTGCGCTGATTCATAATGCTCAACATCAATTAAGAGGTCAACCTGCCCGTTTTGACATGGCTTGCACCGAGAAGGAAATGCGCTAAAGAGAAAAATAGAGGAAAACTCACAGATCCTCGGGGCAATCGTTGTCATCTCCCACCCCCATCTACATACTAACGAAGCGCTGATATGCGTCAGATCACAGCAGCTCTGGCTGTATACGTTTGTGTGTGTGTGTGTGTGTGTTTATTTTTATATGCTGGGGGGTCTGGGAATGTTCGTTAACATGAGGTCGGCTCTTTACGCCTTTGTTTTTTTTTGACTATGGACTAATGGAGAGATGGGAGGGAAATTACCCCCATTTAGCACGCCAGTCAGCACGGCCTCTCTCAGTCTGATGATTTGTTGTCACAGCTCTAAAAAAGGCCTTGTAAAAAATGAATGTCGACCTTAATGTTCCCAGCGAGAAAGATCTAAACGAGCCTCTGGCTTTGGACGCGAGGAACTGAAACACACAAGGTGCCATTTCATGGACACAATAGATGTCCTGGATGAAATATGAATGCCAAATAAAAGTGATTCGCAGTTCTGCTTTGTAGTGCGAGCATAACACCTCTGTGGCAAAGGATTGTGGGTGAATGCTTTGGAGAAAGATGGATGAGGGCTCCAAGGGTTTCTAATCGGATAATTGAACCAAACGAGCATTAAATTGGAGCGATTAAACCTCATTTTCTTCTATGTGCACAATGCTAATAGTGTTAAGGATGAATTGTGAGGTTGCGGGAGCAAGGGGAGATGTGTATGTCGTTGTAGCCCGCCAGAAGAAGTGAAAGGTTTACCAGAAGATCTTTTGGAGATAATAAAGATCTCCCTGTGACATTTCCAGCAGCTGAGCCACTTCAAACCCTCCCAGTCTCAACAACTTGAAATATAGGCTAGTTGTGTTTAAGAAAGTCAGTTGGGTTTAGAATGACATAAGGTTGACTTTTTAATGAACTATCTCTGTAAAAAGAAGGATGTCAGGAAGGAACATCATACTTTAATCTGTTGAAAAAAATCATCAAGCAGTAGCTATGCACTAAGGCTGGGCGATATATCAGATTGGTTGAATATATTCATGATTTTGTAGGTGATATAAAGCTATGATTAATTTATTCTGTGAACGAACGTGTGCAATAACAGGCTTGACCCATAAATGAGTAGAATTAGCTAGCAATGTGATCTCAATATCTCGGCTCCTTGTTAAATCAAACTTTTATGTTCAATTTTGACTGTCAGTCATCTTTCTAAAGTACTATTCATTTATTAATGTGCGAAACCCTAACCTTTAAGCAACACTGTGTATATCATGATGTTTTTAATGTGCTTTTAACTCTCCATTAAGTTCTCTAAAGAGCGTGTCAATAAAATAATTTTCCAATCTATCCTTGTCTCATGATTTGCAAATATCAGATTGAAAAGACTGATCGTCTGTCTATCCTATCTCAGATTTAGACTGAGGAAGAGCTGGTAAGATCAATTCATTTCCGTGAATCATTTCAATTTGTCAGTCTCAATTAACCAATTCATTACTTTGATTCAACAGTTCACCCAGGACAATTAATCAAAAATGTTCATGAAAGTCCCTTTTTCTCCCATATATATATATATATATGTATGTGTTATAAATTACATACCCACATATATACCACATATATATTTAAATATTATTTATAAAATGTACATATATAATGTATATAAGATTTTATTATATGGTTATTATATTAATACATCATATATTATTAATATAAATATATATACATTTATATACTCATGTAAGGTGAAAAATATCAAAATATAATTGTTTTCTCTACATTGCCCAGCTCCACTTTATACATCTTTTTTTCTGTCCTTAAAGTCCACCTGTAGTCAAATATTTTATTCCTTAAAACTTATCTTTGATCATCAAAATTACATATTTAAATGTTTTTTCTTGTGAAAATAATTTTCTCATTCCTTAAAATAGCTTAAATGCAACTCTACACCCTTGCCTCATTTACTATACGTGGTTCGATGAATATGCAAATTAGCCCCACCTTCACTCAGTCACACCAGCCAGTGCCTCCTGATCCACTGAACTGTAGTAAGCGCAAAACAATGGCATACACGGATAATGACTGATTAAACTATCTTTTTACTAGCGGACAACTACAGTGAATACTGTAACATTCGTTAAAGTTACTTACTTGACGATGTTGTGTCCTAAAATGCCTTGAAGACTGGAATGCAGCTGTTTGTGTGAAGTGCAGACGCTGCTGCGGGAGAGGTGGGTTTGACTCCGGGCTACTTTTACACTGTTGCCACGGGTTATAATGCAAGTTAGCGGTTCTAAATTCACATTAAACCACAGCTTCATTGGTTTTTTGCTCTAATTTATTTTTGGTTTTGGGCTGGTATTGGTATATTTTGCATGCTAGTGATAGAAATCGATCCCTTGACGTGATTGATTATTGTTTTGGGATGTAGCAAACCGATGGCTGTTTCAAACCGTATTTCTGGGTCAGCCTTTGGGAGACTACAGTTTTAAGGAGAAAATACTCAGCAATGGTGTTGATTAATAGATTGGCACATGGTTTGTCTAAAAGTATATTAAAGACACCATATAGACAAATAAACAACATTAAAAACTTGATTTTCACTACAGGGGGACTTTAAGGGATTCATAGCTAATAATGCTGCCATGTTTTTTCTCATCTCATCCTTTTTCTGTCCTTGCCGTATCTTTGAAACCAGATTACATTAGAGTAAGCTAATCAGTCAGGTCCTAATAGCTTATTCTTTATCTTGATCCTGGCAAACAAACGTTTGCATTAGACGTCTTTGCTGAGGTCTTCTATTCTGCCATGGTGGCTTTTAGTGCTAATCCGTGTGGGGTTTGTAGTTGCAGAGGCTCAGAGGTACCTGAGTTGTCCTCGTCCTTGCGGATCTTGAGTTTAACCAGGTCTTCGCACTGCTGTAGGATTTGAACGGCGTCCTCCATGGAGCAGTTGTCCAGACGGATGTTGTCTATTGCCAAAAGCTTATCCCCCAACTCCAGGGTGCCCGTCCTTTGAAATAGGACAAGAAAAAAACCCCAGTTACAATCATAAATGTTTCTGATTTTTTAAACTAACATTGCCTCAACCATGCAACACATCTCCATTTCGTCTTGTGATATTTTGAAGGAAAGGTTATTTTCTCCCTTACGCAGATATTTACACTCATTTCATTGTAGTCTGAGCTCACATTCTGCAAGAAAACACATCCATTATTCAGTGTATTGACCACGGTATAGAATAAAGAGCAGCCAGAGGCACTGAGGTAGATCTGAAGCGAGAAAAAAAAACAAAAAACCAACAACTGACTTTTATCGTATTGGCCATAATTGTGTGCCGTTCTATATTCAGATTAGACACCGAGATCTAATCCTGCCTGAATTCACAATTATTCCACCACTTCATGATATTAAATGGCTCAATTATTTTTAGGCTCTTTTAATAGAGCTGAAATAGAGGAGAGCTAGATGTGAAAGACTGCGAGTGCCAAGGCCATCTTACTCGGAGGCATCTAAATACAGAGACGGACAGACCCGTATTTAACCACTCCACTGTGTACACAGAGGTTCATAACCCAATTCTCTTTGCTCCTCGCATAATTATCAAGTAAACATATGTTCTATTATGTAAAAGCATGGGAAATTAGAGTATGTGTGCTGAAAGAAAGTAATTATACCAGTATAAAGCCTCCCCCAACAACCCTAACTATTACCATGGAGAATTTGTTTCTTTTTTCAGCTTTGTTAGAAATTAAAGTTGAGCTTGAGAAAGGAACGTATATTTCTGTTTTTAACAAAGAAATTATATATATTTTTTAATCAAGGATCAATTAAATTGGTCAAAAATGAAAGTAAATAAATGCTTAATGCTTAAAGTAAATACATTCTTGTGAACTTTCTAATTATTAAATAATCTTGAAAAAATGTATAAAGGTTTCTACAAAAATATTAATTGTTTTCAACATTAATAATAAGAAGAAATGTTTCTTGAGCACTAAATCAGCATGTTAGATGATTTCTGAAGGACCATGTGACACTGAAGACTGGAGTAATGAAACTGAAAATTCTGAAAATTTTAATTCAGAAAAATGTTAAAAGATATTAAAATAGAAAACAGTTATTTTAAATTGTAATAATATTTCACAATATTACAATTCTAACCGGTTTTTTATCAAATAGATGCATACTAACATAAGAGATTTCTTTCAAATAAATTAAAAATCTTACCAACCTGAAACTTGTATACAGTACTGTACCTCGAGCTACGAGTGAAAAAAATTGTAAGCTATTCAGTACAGCTAGATTAGATTTTACTGCAAACAGCCCCGTATAGACCTCACAATCAACAACAATGCAGTCAAACTGCACTCGACACCTTTCCTCAGGGCATCCGCTGAGATTTATGTCAATATGGAGGGTTACACGTTCTCCCAGCCGCACTCAATCAGAAGCTCTCCTCTATAGCCTGGAGAAAATTAGCATTTATATGCATAAGTAAGCTTTCGCAGGTCGATGCAGATAGCATATGCTCATAGTCTTGCTCAATTCTGTGCGCAGATGTCATTACATTCGCCATTTGGGTCTAGTCGATGCTATTTAAGGCACGGGTGAAGTGCTGATTTGGATGAGAGTGTGCCAAGCTGAAGTTTCAGCAGCCATTATTCCAGTCTTCAGTGTCCCATGATCCTTCAGAAATCATTCTGATATGCTGATTTGGTGCTTATTATTATAAATGTTGCAAGTTGTGCTGTTTTTTTGTGGATTCCCCCCCCCCAAAATTGATATTTGATGAATAGAAAGTTCAAAAGAACAGCTTTTATTTGAAATATAAATATTCTGTAACATATTAAATGTCTTTTGATCAATTTAATGCATCCTTCACTCTTAAAAATAAAGGTGCTTAAAAGTTTCTTCACAGTGACACCTTTATTTTTAAGAGTGTTGGTAAATAAAAGTATTACTTTCTTTAAAAAAAACCTAACTGTCCCCAACTTTCGAAGCATATAATATATACCATACAAAATACAAAAATAAGTAATGTTAGGCAACTCAAAGCAAGCACAATCAAGCTTTTCAACGGTCTTTTTTGTATTTTATTATATTTTTTTAACTTATGCTGAGTCAAAATGTTCAGAGGATGTTTTTTTTTTTTAGAGCGTGTTATATTGAGTGAAACATTGTGCACTTGGGTAGAAAATGTAATCCATCTATTATGTATTTTTCTTTAATATAGCAAAACGTCAGATGCAGGTGGGTGTAGGTAGGCTGTATACTGCACAAGTTATTATGCAGGAGATTAGTGTTTCTATAGAATTTAAATTTTTTACAATTTACATCTATACAATTACATTTTAAAGGAGATATGGTGCAAGACAATGATTTAAGGCGGTACCTGTGCGCCACGCTGCCTTTCTTTATGTCAGAGATGATGAGTGCATCTCCGGGCTTCCTACTGGAAGGAGCTGTGAAGAGAGAAGGGAACAATCAAACTTGTTTAATGGCAAAACCTCAGTCATTTTATGTAGCCAACACTGCTGATTATCTAACTCTGAGTCATTCTTAGTTAACAGCTTAGAAGTTTTTTTTAAAGGTACAATACTTTTAAAGCAGGGGTGCCCAAACTCGGTCCTGTAGGGCCGGTGTCCTGCAGAGTTTAGCTCCAACTTGCCTCAACACACCTGCCTTTAAGTTTCTAGTATGCCTAGTGAGAGCTTGATTATCTGGTTCAGGTGTGTTTAATTGGGGTTGGAGCTAAACTCTTCTGGACACTGGCCCTCCAGGACCGAGTTTGGACACCCCTGTTTTAAAGGTTCAGCCTTGATGACAAAAGTGTTTCAAATTGGAAAGAGAAAATCTGATGACACAGCAAGAGCTTTGTATTGACTTGTAGTGCCTCTCCGCTCCAGAACTAGTTGCTTTTGGTAGCATGAACAAGTACTTGTCAGTCCAGTCAAGTCAGAACTGATGGTTTTGTTGTCTATTTGACATTTTTCCAGCTTGGAGAATGACATGACACTGTAAAAGATGCCACTTTGAATGACTGACAATGGAGATGCACATTTTCCACAGTGCCAGGTGGATGACAGTAATACAGCAAATAATAGAATATATATAAAAATGACAGTCTTTAACCATAAAGAAAGAGCTCTGCAGAAAAAATTTTTTTTGTTTGTCTTAGTGGGTTTAAAAATCATTTAAAACCAGCCAACAGACCAGCCTGACAAGCTAAGACCAGCAAATAAGCTTAGGCTTTGGATTAAACTGTTTTTTTTCCCCACTAGGGAAGTCCAGGATAGTTGTTTTTAACCATTTTGACTCCCCCATCATCCAATTAAATATTCAAAGCTCCCCCATATACAGTACTGTAAGCTTTTTTCTCTAGGATATCTGCAGTAATTATGACAAACCTGCTTATTTCTAAAATTTATATTAACAGAACCTCTGAGTTTTTTTTTTTGTTTGTCTTAGTGGGTTTAAAAATCATTTAAAACCAGCCAACAGACCAGCCTGACAAGCTAAGACCAGCAAATAAGCTTAGGCTTTGGATTAAACTGTTTTTTTCCCCACTAGGGAAGTCCAGGATAGTTGTTTTTAACCATTTTGACTCCCCCATCATCCAATTAAATATTCAAAGCTCCCCCATATACAGTACTGTAAGCTTTTTTCTCTAGGATATCTGCAGTAATTATGACAAACCTGCTTATTTCTAAAATTTATATTAACAGAACCTCTGAGTGTTCGATATAAATTGAGTATATAAAGTGTTTGATGACCAATATTTAACTATTTTATGAATCCAGATGTAGTTATGTTTTATACATAATAGTAAATAATTGCTGTATATTACTATGTCACGATCTCCAGCTGGAGTGCCCATGTGCTCCTCTAGAGGGCAATGCATCCCATACCTTTGCCACTCAATCCCGGACTCCATTTCCCATAACCCCCTGCCTAGGATCTGATTAGACACACACCTGTTTGCAATTAGGAAGACTATTTAAGTTGGACACTCTCACACACTCATTGCTGTGTCCTGTTTTTGCTGTTAGTGGACAATTCTAAGTGCATCTTTGTTTCCCTGTTTTCTTAGGGTGTACTCACACTAGGCACGGTTGCCTTGAACCGAGCCCGAGCGCGATTATCCCCCCTCCCCCACTCCCCTGCTGGCCTGCACTCACACTTGCACTAAACTTTCTGGGCCAGAGCACGCTTACGTCATGTACGAGATAAAGGAGAAAACCACTTTTGCTAATATTCTGTCGAATAATTAATTATAATTAATTTATAATTTATGTTGTGCATTGATTTTCACTTGCATGTATCAGAGAATTATTACGGAGGCAGCTGACGTTAATTAAATAATTTGCAGCTTTACTCACAAACTACATTTCCTGTTCATCAATAAAGGTGAGAACCAGAGCCATTATAAACCTAAATATACTTGATTGAATTAAATTAATTGAAAAGTGTAGTGTAGTAGTAATAGAATATGTTTGTGGTCGTAATGATGACAGTAGCGCAGTATCTGTTCCGTGCTCTGGCGTGGTTAGCACTCACACTGCATGCGTACCGTGCCCGAGCCCAACCGAACCGTGTCCCTGGCCCACCTCTTCCAACTGAGCCCAAACGAACCGTGACCTTCTCCCTGTTATTTGGATTACTCTTTTGTCTTGCCTTGGATGTAGCTGTTTGCTGGTGTTTGCCCTGTATGTTTCGAGTACACTCTTTAATAAAGCTCACATTTGGATCCCCTACTCAGTTGTCACACCATCCATAACAAATAAACTATTAAATATATAATAGTATAAATGCTGCCAGCTCTCTAGGATTTGGACCACAGCCATTACATCAGTGTGAAACAGACCTTTTTAGCAGCTCTAGTCGTATTGTGGAGCACAGGGGACAGATGTGAGTGCATAATCACATGTCATATGGTCCCTACTCCACCAGGAGCATCTGGAGGTGTGAAATCAAACTTCTCGAGTGACGTGTCGGAGCATTTTTCTCTCAGTCAGAGCTCGGGGTGATTCATGTTCGTTTAATGCGTCACAGACAGACTGGAAGGTCGTGTCTTTTTCACTTCGAATAAGAAAAATAAACTCTTTTGTTAATCCTGCTCACTTTTCTACCTAATATGCCTTCCAGATGGTGGTACAGCTTCATCATCATCAAATCTGATGCACCGTACAGCCTGCCAGTGATGGGGAATTGTCCTGTGCTGCCCTGTGGGGATCTGTTCTTTAAGCTTTATGCATTGAGATGCCAAGCATGCGAACAGACAGTCCCAGTGGTTTTCTGTGCTAGGTTGTTATGGTTAGAGAACAACCCTGCAAGCTCCAATTGACAGAACAGCTTGATAACTTGAGAACTTGATTAGTATGATGGAATATCTCAAAGAATAAACAATAAATTAATAAATTAATAAAAAATATAACAATAATGAATAATATTTTTCATCTTGTTGAAAATACAAAATATGTATTTTTTCTGTAAACAAATAGAAATATATGTAATATATATATATATTTCTCTCTCTCTCTCTCTCTCGTTCTCTCTCTCTTGCTCTCTCTCTCTCTCTCTCTCTCTCTCTATATATATATA